CCAATCTTTTAAGATTTTGTAACCTGTGATTTATGTTGTATGAATCTACTCAATTGTGACTTATTTATAGTTAAAATGACTTGCTATGAAGCATGAATAAAATTATCCTGTTGTTGTTTTTTAAAAGTGCAATTGTTTATAATTTTCCTCTGAGACTCCTGCTCCTTTTCCTCTCTGGACACTTTTTGCTTTCTTTCGTGCTGCTTAAAAAGCAACAGTGTGACTTAAATAATTAACTCTGTAAACAGAGAAATCTATCCCTCCAAAGCACAATATCCAGGAACTATTTGTCCTTCTAAAGTGTGTCTGGCTCCTGCAAGCAGGGTCTGGCTCTGCACATACCAGGGGTTTTATCTTTTGTTAGGTTTGAGGAGGGGAAGGAACGGAGGCAAAGATTTGTCCTGTGCCAATGACCCATAGTAAGAGGGATTAATTTCTTTCAAGGCAATACAAAACTCTCTTCTTTAGCCTCTCTTCCTCCAAATTATAGAGCATTTATTTGCATTTATTGCTTCCCTTACTTTAAATCCTGTCAAATTCACTATCAAACCAGAGAGTAAGCTAGTTGTCTAGGTGCATTACCAATGATATTGTCAGTTCTGATTAATCAGGGGTCCTTGGCAGGCTTATGGCCAATTAGAATTTACCATAATAAGGGGGTGACAGCTGGTGTTGCTAAGCAACAGCTGTCTATAGAACTAAAGAAGCCAGACACATTTAGATGCTACTGTCGAGTTCAACAGCAGCATGTCAAAATAACATAGGCTTCTGTCCAGCAATTTTATTTCCTAACCAAAGAACAGGCAATGGAGTGAGAAACATATTTCCTTTTCAAGAATATGATTCTGACGGGGGGGGGGAACGATCTCCTTCTTATATCCTTTGGAGATGAATTTTCAGCAATGGAGATGCTATCTTCATTTTCAATTAAGAGAACATATTAATGAACCTAACGTTTATCCCACCATAAATTAAGTCTCCAGATGCTTGATGAGTGGATATAGAGAAATCAGCTATTAGACTAGTGAGCAAGAGAAATTAACACCCCCAAACACTTTCAGATGCCCTCTCTATAAGTGCGCTATAATCTGGAAAAATTAAGTCTGGAATGATCTGTTTAAAAGACAGCAAGAGTTCTTTTTCTAAGACAGGCAATGGTTAAAGCCAAGTTACCAATGAAAGATTAATTACCATTCCTTAGCAGTTATCTAGGCAAATCCCACTCTTAGCAGAAAACAGGATCCAAATTTTCAGTTGGTTTGAGTAAAATAGGTATTAGGTTAATGGGATTATATTGCTATATTGCATTTCAAGTTCTTGTGTTAATCTGAGCTGGAAGAACTATTGCTTTCCTGGAAAAGCCCAATAATACTATGCAGTTGGCAAAGTAAAAAAATCAACATTTTTGTGGGGAGCTGGATAAAAATAGGCATGTGCAAGAAAAATTCTCATTTTATTTGTTTGTAAATACAGTTTTATATGTGTGGGCCCAGAGAGTTATTCTTAGAAATACGTCTGCATATATTGCAACAAGTCATATGAAAACAATAAATAAACATACAAATGAAGGGAATTAGAGAAATAGCTTCAGGCAGTTCTCATTTAGAAAGCTAAAGTAAGATCATAAACACAGTTGCGATTTCTCTAAACATCCATTCTGTTTAACAACCAAGTTAAACTGTGATAGCTAAATGAGGTCTATCAGCACAAGCTTTAATTTAAGGGTGGGTAACCTGCAGGGCCGCTGAGAGGATTATTAAGTGCTGGAACAAGACTAAAATGGGTCCCCTCACCTACGCATTAAGTTAACATCTCCCCTCCCCACCACCCTGTGGATTTCATGTTACTCCTTGAACTAACTCCTAACCAACCGAGAGGCTCGTTAAAAAACAAAAAGGAGGGGGGCTGCCAGGGCAGCATAGCAGATCAGGAAGCGGGGTGGGTGGGTGAGGACGAAGTACAGAGAAGCAATGTTGGAGTCCGTGCAGCCCACAAGTAGATGTTTTTTACGGACTGGGAGAAAAATGATTCACTCTAGTCTATATGAATGAAAGAAAAGTGATGCTTCCCTTGCCTGCCCCCCTCTCCTCCTCCAGTTTATCCTCCTGTGTTTTAAAGCGACCTCTTGCCAGTTATCCTTTGGCATGGCTGGCGTGCATAGATCCTCCAACTAAGCCAACAGTGGCACCTCCTTCCTTTTCCCATGGAGGATTTCAACAGGGTGAGAAGTGGGTGAGGCGAACATTGCTGCCACTGCTGCACAGGAAGGGCACACCTTTCTTGCCGTTTGCCCTCTGATGAGTTGATATGATCCAGCTTCAGAGTGTTTTGTTATGAGCCGCCGCCACCATCCACCCCCCCCCGCCTGGCCGCATCCAGGTTGATACACCGTCCCACTGTTTTTATTTTTAAAAATTTGGTTTTGTAAAATAATTTTTTTTAAAAAAAAATTCCTCTTCATGGACCCCCTTTGAGCTCCATGAGCCCTGGAACAATGTACTGGCTGACTCCCTCTCTCCTCAGGCCTGCTAACCTGCAGCCAATCCTCTTTTTAGCAGACTTTGAAACCTCCTCTAGCATCAGAAGCTGAAAAGTGACAGCACTATTTTCCACTATTTGAGTTGGGAAACAGATGAAGAAATATAAAATTGTAGGGACTGATGTCGACAAAGCAGTAACAAGCTCTGTTTGGGGCAGCCAGAATGGTTGTGCAAACACTGAACAGGTGCCCTCTTATCACAAGGCTGGGAAAATGTCTACAAAAGACAGCAGGAAAAGTTGGGGGATTTAAAACTTGGGGGTGGGGAAGGGAGGGAAGAGACAGCAAGAGACAGGCAGACAATCTAATTTATGTGTTTTGCATATATATGATTTCTTTCCTAAGCTGTCTATGAAACATCTGTTATTGGCTATCCTAGTTGATTTTATGGACAGTAGAAATGTATTTTTGTGTCCAATATGCAACCTGAGATTTAGGTTAAAACAGATTTAGGTTAAAATAAATTAAAAACCGAAGAACACCCCTACCACAACAAAGGCCAACTCACATAACTGATGTGGTCCACATAACGTAGTTTGTGACCACCATATATTAACATACACAGCTCTTCCTATTCTAACACAAGCAATCCAGAGATGGATTCTCTTCATTTGCAAAACACAGAACATAGATTCCAACTATTTACTCTAAGCCTTCGTTCTCAAAGGTATTTTTTTTTAAAGAAAATGCACTTTTAATGATACATCATTGAGGAAATCTCAGTTTTATATACTAAAAATGAAGTGTTTAAAAGTTCTGGTAGCTTTACTTTTTTGGGCACTCTAAGGAAACAAAATACATAATGTCTTGTGGTAACTTCAAAGGCCAACAAATGCATTTTTGCATAAAGTTTCACTATCAAAGGCCATGTGCACTATAATCCCTGCAAGCTTGTGCACTAATAAATTGATTCTTTTTTAAACTGCCACAACAATTTTAAAGTCATTCATGTAATCTCATGTGATTTATTAATTTTTAATGTGCCACAAAATTCCTTATTTTGATGCAAAAAGATTAATAAAGTCTGCCCCCTGGGAAGCTCTTGAAGAAAATATATGCTTATATAAGCAGGGAAAAACCAAGTCAGGAAATTTCCCATTGGCACTGTGAAACTGGTTACTTATTTCCACAGTGGTGACTTACAACATCATTTGGCATTATTCAATATCCCTATGCCAAAGTAACAGTAATAAGGATAGGCTTTTCTTTGCTGCACTGATGCTTTGATAATGTTATGTCACTATAGGAAAATGGCCTAAGGTATTATGAAACCAATTAGATCAAGCTATTGGATAAAACAAGCTTGTGAAACATAGAGACATATCACATCACATCACGTAGGGACCATGGCAGGAAAGGAGTATTTTGAATCCCTGCTTTCCTCAAGAGGTTGTTAGATAACAAAGGACTGATTGATTGGTGCAATGTTTTTAAAAAGCTTACATCCACAGCAAATAACAATTTGAACTCATGCAGTTTCATGTACAATTTTTTTTAAAAAAATTGCAACTACTCACCTCAAAAATTCAGCTGCTACAGTTTTGGCAATAATAGGATGTATGCTTTTTATGCATGCCCTAAATTAGGGGTGTCAAACTCAATTTTATTAAGGACTGCATCAGGGTTATGTTTGTCCTTGGGGGGCAGTGGGGGCTGTGGGCAGGGTGGCCATGGCCAGCTTAACGTTACTTGTGTCAGGGCACCTGTGGTAGCCAGAGTGCTCTGCCAGTGAAAATGAGCTCCCAAGCTCTGTTTTCAGCTGTGATGGCCTCCTGCAACCCTCTGGCACAGAAAACAGAGCTCGGGAGGACCACACATGACCCCCACGAGCTCCGTTTTTCATTGGCAGAGGCACCATGGGCCGGTCCTTTGCTGTTTCCAGGGCGGCCCTGTGGGCTTCATCTGACCTGTGGACTTTGGGGATTGACATTCCTGCCCTAAATGCAATGGACGTTGTATTGCACTGTTCTTCTGAACCTACTGAATAGCAAGTATCATCACACATGAAAGTTGTTCTAGTTGAGATTTTGGCAAAGGAACATTAACCAAACATTTCTGCCAAATATATACTGAACTATTATGTGGAAATTGTTCTTCCTATGTTTATAGATATTTTCCAACTTTTGGGGAACTCCATAGTGGTATATAAATTTCTAATGTCATATCCTTTGGGGAGGGAGATATATCAATCACAGGGAGACCAAATCTGATAGAAAAATACAGACAAAATACATATAGGTCATTTGTCCACTTGAAACAAAGCTCATTCATTTTCTCATTAAACACCCCAGAAATCCTTCTCCTTAAAGGAGCAGTGATTCTGCAAAGGGCAACCAGAAAGGCATTAACTGTGTTGCAGTGGATGAGTTTTTATCTAATAGTGCACATTTAAGAAAGACGAAGCAGAAAGAAAAAGAAAAGGGTTTTATATGTGCGAATGTGACACCTGCCTGCATCTTACCTCCTTTATCTTTGCAATACTGAAGGCTGGGGTCAATATGCTCCGGACCTTTTCCCACTTCTCATCACGCAACATGACAATGCTGTCTGCAAATGGCTTAAAAACCAAATCTGGACTCTAATTGAAGACAAAGATAGAACAGTATCAAAAACAGACAAATCTTAGTAGCAATTTAATAATTGAAGAATAAGTACACTATGTTAAATACAAAGTAGGATAATAATGTTCAGATTCTAGAATTCTGAAAAGTTGTATATTGGTCTGCCTGCACACCCTTCTTTGTGTTGTACACGTACTATAATTCCGGAATGCAGAAGACCCCTGAAAAGTTATGGCATGGATTTCTTTTCCAAGGAACTTTCCTTTGGACTGTACAGGTTATATTCAGTTCCCAAAGCCTCAAGTGTTAATGCACATTGGGGGTTTCTTGTAACTATATAGATATTCCATTGCAAGTTCCTGTAGAGGTATGATTTCATTGCTCTGGAACAATAGTGCTGTCCACAATTGTTCCTACTGGGAATTTTGTGAACCTCCAAGAAAAACCATGATTTTAAAATTCAGAACTAGTAGAGACTTATTCTAAAGAAAGATTGCAAAGACAAAACTTTAGGAGTCCAAGATTTAATACCACTGACTTTAGTTAAGCTTAAATTCAATTTATCTAGGTTTAAGCAAGATGAGAATATTATTACGACAATTCAACATTTCAGTAATGTTATATGAGAACTGTTAAGCTGTTGAATTATTGGAAACTTTAGAAATGTATATTAGTTTTAATAGCATTTTTCACAATGCTAGAGACAGATAAAAATCAGAATGCTGCATCTTGGACCTCACCCATTCATATAGTGCAAATTCCAGCTATGTCCCCAGGTCATCTCATCCGTTTTCTAATATAAGCTGTTGGCCACAGGGTGGACACTTTACCCTAAGAAACTGCAGTGAATGATCTCAAAAAGCTATGCCCCATGTAATGTGTGCAGGGGAATGTATCACTAATACAGAGTCAAGAGGACACAGCTAACAAGTGTGCTATACAGATTTCTGCTCTGAGAAACCCTGGTTCTCAATTACACTCCAACAAAATTGAGGTACATTTAAATTTGTTGCCCAGCAGCATCACTAAAAAAAAAAGCAGCACTCCACACTGCAATATTTATTGCAAATCTGTTGTGACTTGTCATTCTGATCAATGGTTGTAATAAAGAATGGATCTGTTCTGGCCTAAATGCATACCAACTGAGCATTCCCTTCAGATCCCTCTTCAAAGTCTCTGTTTTTCTTAAAGCACTACAGAACTCCTTAGCTCTGAATCCCATACAGTATAACCAATCCCAAGTCAGGTTTTTAAAATTTATTTATTTAAAAGATTTATACAGCTCATCTTAAGCAACTTAGGACAGCTCTCAATATTTTTTCCATGCCTCTATATCGTTCTCCTGCAATTCCTATATCAAACATTAACTTAATCGTTCATGAGGCAAAACCCTATCCATTTATACTTTTCTAATAGGCTTTGATATCATCTGTCTGTAAATACTAGGCTCTATCTCCTTTCAAACTGGAAAAGTCAAGCTAATCAACCAGTTATGCCTTTCTACAGGATATTCCATTCTGTGTTCCTCACCCACTTTCTAGGTTACTGTTCTAACTATCCTTCTACATTCCGTGATTGCTGACATTCCTCAAACCCCATTAGGCATTTTTAAACTAGCAGTTGTTCCTTTAAAATGTATTTAGCAAGCTATAGTGGATTGCTGCTACTGTTATTGCTTTGGTATTTTCGCAATCCTTAGTGTTCTCTGGAGATGGGAGATACTTCTTTATTTCTCAGTCTGAATTGTCAGGTTGTCAATACTCAGTCACACTTGAGGAGTGTGATAATTGCCATTTCTATATTCCATAATTATAAACTCTGAAGAAATAGTACACTGAGTCCAACAGAAGAAGTAAAAAAAAAGCTTGAAAGAAAAAAGAAGTTTGTACTTTAGTGAATTTATTTACCACAGTAAATAAATTATAATAGTAAATTTATTAATCAAATTTATACAACCATCCATTTTAGCAAAACAACTCCTGGTGGCACACAAACTCATACAATTGAATATATTTCTTAGATATTTTTCCTACTGAAATTTTATTTGGTAGAACAAAAGCATGCATGCATTTAAAAATGTCTTGCTTTGTTAATGAATCATAAGTATATTTATAATCAAGAGTATTTACAGTGAGTAATGATTGTACTAAGAAACCATTCCTGTGTGTAAAGAAATGCTATGAACAATATCATCCCTTAATTAATACTTTTCCTTGCCAGATATTACATATGTAGAAGAGAAATAGCCAGGGACTCTACTTCAGTTTCATTTCTTTCTTTTCTCTACCAAGTTACAACTAGTAAAATGAAAATGCTACGTGACATAGAATCATTGTGGTGAAATGCACTTCTCCCTCAAGGCATCCAGTGAGATGCAATACGTACATAGACAAAGCACCCAACCAAAATCATCTGATCCTCTTTTACATGATTATTCTCCCTCTTAATCTGTATCATGTTTAAATCTTACTCATGACTTGAACTAATTCACAAGTTTCTTCAGAAGCTACCATTATTCTCCTTCAACCCAATATATCCTACCAAGGTGTTCTTGTAGAGCAGGGAGGACTGTGTACATTGCCCTGAACACCTGGACAAAAGGTAGGATATAACCTGCAAATAAATAAATAGTATCTAGGAAATAGTTCTTCAGCACTTAAAGGCAAGTGCCTTAAAAAAAGAGATGAGCAATACAGTGTGTCCCATTAAGTGCCCAACTTTTACTTTCTGAAAGCTGGTACATCCATAATTAGTGGATTTGGAGTAGCACAGTTTTGAAGCTTTTTTTTTTAAACAATATCCACTAAAATTGTAGATCTATTCTTCCAGTAAAAAAGAAACAAACCAACATCACACAGTTGCATACAAAAAAGCAGAGGGAGACAAACTGTGTATCACCATATGTCCTCTGGAGCCTTCAAAGGACTAGCACAACCTTGACATAGGGAATATGTGTTTTTTCCCTTCCTTATATCTCTTTTCACCACTATTATGTTGGGACATAATGACATTGGCAGAGTGTTTCTCAATCTCAGGAAACACAAGATGTGTGGCCTTCAATTTCTGGAATATACCAATCCACTTATTACAAGTTTTCTCTTCATTCAAGCTGAGTCCGTACAAGATGAACAAAGGAACTCAGCCCATAGACTTGTATTTTAAGATACTGCCTAATAAAAAAGTCAAGAGTATAAACAAAAACCCTTGAGGCTTTCCCCCCCTGTCACATCTTAGAGCCAATGTTAAAAGATACATCACTTTAGCACAGTTACACATGTCATATTTTTCCTGAAAAAAGAAAGACAAGTAAACACAAAAATGCCAGTCAGTAAAATACATGTTTTCTCCTTTTGAAAAAAAAAGGGGGGGCATACATCTCAGCAGGCAAAGCTATGAATAGTTACAATTTATTAATACCTGGCTGTGATAATCCTGTGATAAACAATCAAAGTGCTTGTTTATAACTTCAGAATGAAAGCTGAAGAAATGAATGCAAAGACAACCCTAAGGCTATGGGGCATGCTTCTATCCTTCTGAACTCAGAGAAAGTGGCGTGAACGTGTTCAAATGATGCTGATTTAAAATTGGATTTCTGAAAGTCTCCTGCTTCTGCAGTTGTCAGTAAAGAGGTTCATAAAGAAAGCCTCCTTTGTGTTCACACCAGCTTTGTGTATTTAGCTTTCTTGCTGACAATATGGCAATTGTTTATTATTGTCTTGAGATATTTTCTACCCTCCAGTCGAAAACCACAATCTTCCATCTAAATATTAATGAGGTTCAACCTTGCTTGGCTTTCTGAGATCATCTAAGATCACTTTGGTGCAGTCACCCAGCTAAGAAAGCAGAAGATAGAAGATAATTGCAGTAGAATAAAAGAATTAAGTGGACCATGATGGCCGGACAGTATAGCTTCAGCTGCATTGCTAGCATTGGATGTCTACTGGTCACTGATAAGACTGATTGATTGTGCTTTAATGTCATTCAATAACAAGAGTTCTTTGGCTAAGATGTCAATGGACATCTCTTCTGCTCCATCAAATGATGTCTTTTTTCAGCTGCAGCTCTATCAGTTCAGAACTTCCTCCTAATACACTTTTATGCTACCTCTTTTTTCCACAAATCTCTCCCAAAAACCTTTAGTATCAAGTCCACCGAAAGTAAGCAAAGTCCATGTAAGTAAATCAAATTTATATTCCTCCTTCTATCTACTGAAATTAAGCCCAGTTAAATGTAACAAATGAGACAGGATATTTTCCTTGTTACATTATTTCCAACCATGCAATCTTCTGTTTCTTTATACAGAACTTTAGATTATAAACCACTTGGATGAAAGATACATTTTTATTTTTGTCCTATAACTGCCATGCAGAATAAGAGTTGTACACAAATTGTTGAATAATGTCAAGATAAAGAGAGAACTTAACAGACGGTAGCTTTTACTGCTAAGAAACCAATAAACATTTGTAGGTAAAAAAAAATCTGTTTACACATGTTGTCACTGTATGGCAGTAGCAAAACTGAGTTAGATCAAATTAGATCTGGAATTAAAGATATTTTCAAGGTCTGCCAGTTCGGTAATACTTAGAGATCATGTAATTTACGATATCATCCATTCGTATTCATGTTAGCTCCCAATAACTGTTGGGAGCTAACATCTTTATTTTCTTTATTTTAACATTTTTATTTTTCTTATATGTATCCATGTATTCATAACTATGTTTTTACTTATATCTATTATCTTGTAAGCAATTGACAAACCAAAATAAATAAATAAATAAATAAATCTCTGAAAAGGATATCACGAGGGCAGCCACATTTTCCAAAATCAGTTAATCCCATTTCTACTCCTGCCTATTTATTTATCTGCATATTAAATGCATGTGGTCATTAAACTCAAAACAATGTAATTGTGGGTAGTTTGTAAAAAAAAAGAATCAAATAAGAACAGTATCAGGCACTCATATTCATATCATCATTGGTTGTGGCTGAGTGTGGGTCTTTCCCCACTCAATTCTAC